TTATTGAATTTTATATTATTATACTTATATAAAATTCAATAAATATGTAAGAAGTGTTGTTTATTTATTTATTTATGCATCATAAATAAATAAAGAAAAAAATTTCATTTCTTTAGTATTCACTGAATTTTACATAAGTAGAATGATGTAAAAAATTATAGATAAATAAAATATTATTTAAATGAAAAGTTTAAAATATAAATTCTAATTATTAAAATTAAATATTATAAAAGCATAATTTATTTTAAGTTTAAAAGAAAAAAAAACTAAAGATAAACTAGTAAACATTGGAAAATCTTGGAAGAAAGAAGTGCATACAAGATTATGAAAATGTGAATTCAAGTTTCCTAAACTTAAGAATATTAAAATAATATTTCTGTCTAAATAAAACTTAAGTTTTGTGTTTAAAAAACATATTTTTCTATAAATATATTTGTATAAAATATTCCAAATTTTAAAACTCTTCCACTAAATATTTATATTTAATTCAAAACTACAAATGAAATAAAATTCTAAGCTGAATGAAAAACTGAAAGGTAATAACTTTACATTATATAGATCTTTGAACCTATCTTTGAAAAATGATTTTAATATTATCAAACCAAAAATAATTACATAATATAAGTGGCTGGTGTTTTTAGGTTTGACAAAATATAAAACTATCAGTAAAGAAATTTGAATGATATAAAAGTAAAAAATTATCTCTGAATATGAATTTAAGTATTTAGTTAGCTATTTATTAATAATGACAATATTTTTTATACACAAATAGTCTCTTTTTCTTTTGAAGTACAAATGTTCCTCATTTTATATAAGTTTGTGATGGTTTAAACTAGTTTAAATGGCTGGATATATCATCTCTTCTGTATCTCTATCCATCATCATTATTTCTTTCTTTTTACCTTTCCCACTCTATCTAGTTGTTACTTAATATCAAGTGGAATATAATCTTATTTATAGAAGGAACTAGTTGACCAATAAAGTTTAAATCATTTATCGTAAAGGCTAATATTTAGTTATAATGATTTTAAAAACTTTTTAAGTATTCTCATTTTAAAAATTATCATTTTTTAAGTTACAAAAATTCATTACAGTTTCATTTATTTAAGTTAAATGATTGAGTATCTTTGCTATTGGAAGAAAATCCAATATTCTTAACGATATATTTTATGGTGTATCATTTATAAATTACAATCATAACTTGGTCATATTTTAACGACTAACAGAGAGCACGCAAGTGTAGTAACGATCAAAATCAAAGTAATGTTCCCATACATTCAGCAATACTTTTGAATCATCATTACTACAGCAATGATTGATGATTCTTAAATGTTTTTTTTTTTACGATTTAATAATAGACCCGTTATAACGAATCACTTTTATAATGAAGTTTTAAGTGCTGTGTAGGATGAAAACTTGCGTAATTTTTGAAATTTTCTCATTTAAACTTCATTTGACAGTCACTTGATGGCACCACTGTTAATAGTTCCTGGATTTTTGAAGGCAGATAGTTCATCCGAATGTTCTTTTATATTGATTATTACAGAAAATTTCATATAAAACGAATATTTAAACTTCAAATTTAAAAGCTAATTTTCCTATAATTTAGTACGTATCATTCTTAATTCTACTATTAATGTTTAATAATTCTAAATACTCAAAATTCATAAAATTTTACTTTAATTTCTTTTTAAACAAAAAAAAAAGTGTGATTAAATAGTTTTAAACAAAAGTAATTAATTTTTAATATGTAGAAACAGCTAGAAAAATGAGAAAATGGCCTTCATTTTTATTAATGAATTTCTGTTTATATAGATTTTCAACGCGGGATATATTATATTACTGTAATTATAACAGAAGATAAAAGTTTATTAAACGTAAGTAACCTTTATATAATTAATTATATCAGCTTAAGGTTGATGAAGAAATATTGCTGTTTCTTTTTTTAAGATGTCATAGCTAAAAAAAAAAATAATATAAATGATTAAAGATGAAAAAGTTTGAGAAATTATTAGAAGTAGATAGCGAGTGAGAAAGCTATTTTTCCTAGTGGATTTCATCACTGCCTTAAGGCATTGCTGCGTGACTTTTCCTTTCACTAGATGTAGAAAACAAGATGAAATTGTAAAATTTACGTAGGACTTTTACAATGATTTTGCTTATTTTGTTTACTTTAGATAATAAAATGGTCGGTGTATATTTTTATTGGAGTTAACGAAAAAATTTTAGGAATGCTAGCTATTTTTTTTTTCAAGTAAATTATAAAACTTGTACAGTTTAATATTTCCTTTTATATTGGTGTATTATTTTTCTAGGAAATAATAATAAAAAATTTTACGTAATTGTTGGATTTTGTAGGTTCAATGCTTCTTCATTATTTAATGTACAGTACATGAATATTTTTTTTTGTTGGCGTTTTCCCAATTGTCTATTCAGAGTGGAACTGCATGAATCAGAGCAAATGAATTCCACTACAATTCTTAGTCTATCTTGTTTTCTACTGTTGAATATTTACATATGTATTTCCAATTTTAGCCTGTCTTTGTACAAAGTTCAAAGGTCCATTTTTATTTTTATTTTTTAAGGAAATTGGTGCAATTCTAGATTTATTTTTCCTGTCTTTGCCGAGCATTAGCTTACAAGGAATTTTATCTAGATTGGAAATTGGAAGATTTTTTTTATCAAGCAAGTATCAATATGTACTGTACGCTAAAGTAACCGGTGTCGACACCGTTATTATGAATTTTATTCACTTTTATCTTGTTTACGTAATCATCGAATTTAATTTATAAAATTTGTTAGGCATTTTCTTTTCTTAATTTTATATATTAAATGCTACAATAAGCGTAAACTAATTGTATAAATTAGTGTAATTAGGGATTTACGTTGATTTGTGTATAGCGCGATGTACCTCGAGAAAACGCTTGAAGTTTTTTATATTTATTATTTTTTCTTTTATGTTTTACTACGTTTGGAGACGTAATATTGATTTAAACTTACACTAATTTAATATTTAAAATTAAAGAATTAAGGCGTTGTTCTGAAGGCCATGACACCGCACTGGGCAAACTATACCAGATGCGACTCTGGTTCCGTCCTTGAGCAGGTGTATAGATGACGAGATATGATTATACAATCAAACAATTGTGCTTTAACATATGACAATAATTGAATAGATAACACGAAACACTGTATAGTTAATAGGTGATAACGATTAATGACATATTTCTTGATTTTATTCGATAGATTTATAGCAACTTAAAGACGTCCGATAGCGTCTAGAATTCACAAACTTTTATAATAAACAAGTTTAAAAAAAGAAGTGAGAAAAACTGGAATCTCTACTATAGTTTTACAAGTAAAGTATTACGAAATTTCTATCCAGATAGTGACCATCACTAAAAATATGCTCGAGGCGGGACAAGTTATTGCTGCCTAAAGCATCAACTCAGGTATGTGGTCTGTCTTGTATCTGTTCTAGTCCACTTTTACTACAACACCATTACTACTACGTGTCTATTAGAAAGGGACGGGCGAATACGTACAACTCTTCAGTTCCTCGACGTTGCGCGACTCTTCGCCTCATTCACTCGGCTCGTGACGTAAGAAGTAGATGATTGGTCCAGCGTGTCCACCCCTCTCGACGATCCGATGTCGAGCTTTGGTGTCACGCTAGATATCAGTTCGGAGACAGTGTGTCATCGAGCGTGAAACATTCGAAAAGCCGTCTAACGAAATATGTTGAGACATGTACTGCCCTATACTTCATAATGGAAAGGTGAGTTTTACTTACGACGAATTTTATCTCGGCAATTTTCCTGGCATATTGCTCAATTAACATAGTTTCGTTACGCTAATTAGTTTCTAATCCGAAAGATGATGTAGTGTGTCATTTATTCATTTAGCCACATTTAAAAAATTCCTTCAAACGCGACACTCAAATTTATGGCCTGCTCTAATAGAAAAATCCCATTCTGATGGAGAAAAAACTTGACAGCATACAAAATACCATGTTTAACCAACCTTCTCCGGTTTAACGAACCGTATCAATCTCTTTTCATTTGTCCCGGATTTTAAATCACACTCGCCTGTTTTTTTTCTCTTCCGGTGTTATTTCCGAATTGCCGCGCGTGAGGGGTTACATCCGGCGTAACAGCGCATGCTCGTAACCCTCTGGAATCTAGTTATCAATACGCATGAGCAGAATATCCAATGTCCATGTGGAGTCCGTTGTCCGCTGTCCATTTCCTGTCTGAATTCATTGTTAGGTAACTAATGGGAGATGGAATGTTCCACATCGATGCTGTTATTACTAATTCTACTTTCGAACATCTTTATTACATATAATATCTGCTATTGTTGTTTCGTATAAAGTTATGTATCCCATAGTTGAGTTAGGTGTTGCTTGCTCCACAGGAAATACTTGAGTTGGGCGAAATTTCGACTATTTCCTTTTGAAATTATACGTGCCCGATTTCTAAACATTATGTGGAATTAAATTGGTTAAAAATCCTTACGTATTTCGTGTTATTTNCAATGAGCTTACCAGCAATTTTTTCAAGTAACAATATTTAAATTTTTGGAATACTTTTCTTTGTGAAAATCTAAATTTGTGTAAGCAAGTTTATTTAATTTTATAACTATTGATGCAGTTTTCCTTAAAATATATATAAACTGGTCTGTTTATTTAAACCAAAAATTAATTCAAGAAAAATTTATTTAAAAAAAGTTTATTTTCGTTGATTTAAAGTTTAATTTGTAGATTATTTAAGGAAAAATTTCTTATTTGTGATATTAAATTTCTGAAAGATGAGCTATATTTATATTATTGACCTTTATGAAATTATTTTTCCTCTTTGCGTATAAATCTACAAATATTTAAGAAATTAGTCGTTAACTTTGTTAAAATGTAAGCATTTTTTATATTTATATATGTTACTTGTATAACACATTGAATATTTTATTAAAAATATATAAAATCAATCAATATATTCGTTAAAAGTTGATTAAATCTCAAGAAAATTATAGAAAAATCTCCAGTTTCTGCATTGATTCTGATAAATGTTCTAGATAATTATTTGAAAATTCTTAACTGAATTTCATATTTAAATTTAAGAAATTAAAAAATTTTTATTCTAAATTCGCCAAACATTTAAGAAATAATTGAAAAAAATTGTTTAATCTAACAGAAATTTATGTAAGTGCTTATGGTTATGATTTTTATTGGTGCATTTTATGCATTCATTAGCAAAAATCATTAGCGCTCGCTTATTAATTTCGCTACATCTTAATTTAGAAAATTAATCACTAGCTATTTTATTTTTTGAATAGTTTCTGCGGCTAAAAGTTTAACTCTTTTCTTTCTTTTACTTCGGTTTTCATTGCGATCTCTACGAGGTGAGGTCAGTCGATAGTTTTCGTTATAATCACGCATTCGTTGGAACTTTAAATTCGATCTGCTCACTTATTTCCGCATTTAACTCCGTACAAAACATATTTAATGCAAATGTTATCGACTCTATAGGCGTTGTACTAGTAACTAGATCCTTCCAATTTTAACCGGAATGGAATGCGAGTCTTGACATAAAACAGACACGTGACCCTTCACCCGACATGGTGTGGCAGGTAAACACACACATTCTCGTATGTATTGACCGCTAACCGGACCTTCTGACAACAATTAATCACTAGAAAAGCAGCATTTCCTCTTACTTAATGTCAGTAGTTTCAGTTTTAACAAGTTACAACTTCGTAAAATTTATTTCTGCGAACGTAACAATGCGAAAATAAAGTGGAGGGGAAAAATACCGTACGAAAACGATGTCAGTTAGCGTGCCGAATAGTTTGCGTGTTTTTAAGTTTTCGGAAATGGTAAAAAAAAAAACTGTTTTAAAAGTATTTTTTCCAAGTAAAAAGTGGAATGATCGACATTCTTTCGATCCCGTACAAATGCACCAATAATAAAACTTCGGAATTTTGACTCGTTATACATTCGATTCTTCGTAAGATATTTGGGACAACGTGAAGCCTTTGCAATTATAAACAAGGGTGATTTCGCGTTTCATAATCCGAGCATTCTTGCACAGTGGAACGGAAAATGTTGAATCACCTGTCATGGAATGGAACGCGGAATTTTAGTCATTTACACACGAATAAACTTAGTTTTCTTTCTTTATTTTCAATCCGGTTACAGGTTAAAGTTGGTACGACTGATGTTGATCCAGACATGCTGTTCACAGCAAAGACGACCCTGGACGATTGCAGTTCCTCCTTGCCTCCTGGCCAGAAATACGTCGCCGTTTGTGTACTGACAGGAGATACTTTTTATTTTGTAGTTGATGTAAGTGGTCTTTTTACTTTTCTTCTTAAGATTAGATATAATTTAATCCTTAGGCAATTCATTTTTCTTGAGCAAAAAAAAAAAAAATAATATGTACAGTGTGTGGTTGAATTAACATCTGCCAATTCACATGGCAAAGAAACAGTTAATGTTAAATAAGATATTGATAATTTTACCAGCTGTTTCAATAATGTATTTTTGTTCAAATAAAGCTAATCTGTTTGCAGAGTTTAATTGTTTCCATATTTAAACTTTAGATACTTATCTTGTTTCTCTGGCATTAGTCGAGAATCAAAAGTTATTGACATTGTAAGAAAATAAACATGCGTTGTTCGTCTTAAAGGTTATTTTCCTTAATGATTTAAACTAGAAAAAAAGAATTTGTGTAGAATTTATGCTCTGTCACAAATGTAGAAACATTTCTTAAAGATTTAACCATCCGTTGAGATACACAAGTTGCATTCATCAAAGATTAATGAACATACAAGGATTCATCAGAAATTAGGTCTCTAGTGAATATTTATAATATAAAATGTCTTGTTATTTAAGATGTGAAAATTTTAGTTTTATTTGGTATAAAATATAATTAAAAAGTAAATTTTTATTATTATTAATTTTTGCATATTACCAATGAAATTTAATTAAGAATTTCTTTTTTTAGTCAACCAAAAATAATTTTATTGGCCTTGAAACATTTTATTTTTTAGAATATAAATATATTTTATGACTATATTTAACAACAAAGATGTTTTGAAAGTTCTTGTTTAATTTTGTTTGTTTAAATTAAATGTATTGAATACATTTTATGATGTATTCAGTAGATAAATTATTTCTTTTTTATTAATTGTACTATTTAAGTTATTGCACTTGACATTTTTCATTTTATTAACTATATATTTGTTTGAATTTTAACTGATATCTTAGAATGATCTTTCTTTTAGGTCTTTATTCATCTCCTTGATAATGGCTATAAATAAATTTCTGTTGCTTTGAACCTATGAAGTTAAACAGATTTATTTATTTATATTTACACAATGTTTTAAATATTGATTGTTTTCAATAAACTTAGACCTTAAATAACTATAAATTATGCAATTTATGAACAGTTGTATCAATTAAAAGATTTTGTTCTTGGAATTTAATCCTGAATGTATGTTTAACTTCTATAATATGCAATTTCTTCAAATTTTCTGTTTTAAATAAAGTTAATGAACAAAAAACAAAAAATCTTACTTAATTTTTTATGCATTGTTTACTTAAATATTTCTTTGTTAAAAGAAAAATCTTGTGCAAAAATATTTATTATAGATTATTTTATATTATATTCATATAAGATTTTATTTACTATGAAAATNTAATTATTGTATATGTAAATTGATAATGTAATTAAACAGTATTTTATAAGTTTGATAAGTAAAATAATAAGAAAAATTTAATAAGTGATAATAAATATTGCAGATGGTATATATCAGTTTATTGATCCAGAACAGAAGTTATCGAAGTATGCACCAAAGTGGTGGAAAGTACTTCGTAATAATGTAAATACCATTTTGAAGTTTGACCAATTTTAAACATATTATTAACGTATCTAATTTTAACTTTATTTATTATTTAGGGAATTGATAATAGAAAAAATATCTTGACTTTTCATTTTCGTATAGAAATATACGTTGATTGTCATTTACTAGTAAAGTAAGTATATTGTTGAATTTGAAATATTATTTGTATTCAAACTAAAGTTTAAAACTATATTGATGTAGAAAAATATAAACAAAGTTTATTTTTTAATTAGTGATAAAATAGCAAGGCATTATTACTATCTTCAATTGCGTGAAAATGTCATTAAGTACAACCAAAGCATAAATGAAGAGAGAGCATTTCTCTTAGCAGCTTATGCTTTACAGGCAGATTTTGGGAATTATAATAAAAATATTCATGTTGGAAGATATTTTGAACCACAAAAATACTTTCCTCTTTCAGTAAGCAATGTTTATTTAAATTTTAATTAACTAATAATTATTAATTTTTTTATGGTTTTGACAATGTGATTAACTTTACAAATGTTTGTATATATTAAAAACCAAAAATTAAATTTAAGAAAAAATGTTTTACAGATAATTTTGAGAGTAGGTGAAGCATACATAATTAAATATGTGCCTGCTATGCATAAAGATTATACAGGTTTGAGTTGTGGAGAAGCTGAAATTGGTTATATAAAAGAGGCATCGAACCATGTATCATCTCATAATCTTCATTTTTATAAAATGAGCAACAAGAAAAATAAATTATCCAGTGATATTTGGCTTGGTATAAGTCCAATTGGTATTGAACTGTATAAGGTAAGTTGTTGTTTATAGAATAGTTACATATTTTTTAAGATGCATGTTAAAATTTCAAATAGATAGTCAGACACCAAAAAATAACAAGAAAATTTCATATATTTATTTCTCTATTTGTTTTGGACTTTTCTGCAAAGTAATTACAGTATGTTTTTTCCTTTTTTAAACAAATAGAAATTTGTTTAAAAATAAATTATAGGTTATTTTGCTCTGTTACTCTCCATTATATTTAGCATTATAATTTTCATTTCTTTTATTCCAAAAATAAAAGAAAGATGATATAAATAATATTTCTATACATTATATAACCTGACCATAAAATGGAGAAAAAGTTCATTTTTTTATTTTTTTTTTACAAAATTGTGAAAAGAAATATGTTAAAATTTTTATTATTATTATTATTATGATTAAGATGATAATGCGGAAAATATTCAAGGAAGATTATTCTAAAAGTTAGCAAATGAAGCATGAAAATTACATATTTTATCAAATAAGTCTTAACCACAAGATTGAGAATTATTGATGTAGATAATGTATGTGTTCTTATAGTAATAACACACTTGATTGATTTATTAAATTGATTTTATCTCAAACAAGAACATGGTCAACAACAGGGAATTGAACCTTGCTTGTCTGAATTGTCAATGCCACATGTTAATCAATATGAGTTGCTCTGTTTATTTTTAAATAATTACAATTACTTTTAGAAAAAAGTAATTATTTTTAATTAGATTTTAATAAATCATTTTTTCATTTTTATTATTTGTCATTTTTTTATTATGTGTAAACAGTAAACAAAAGATATGATGTATATGTATATATATATTATATAATTCTGTGAAATTTTCTGAAAATAAAATTTGAAAATTAATCTCTTAATCACTATTTTATCAAAATGATGATAACATGATGATTTTAGAACATTGATAATGTTAAACAAATGTTTAGCTATTGNTTGTTTTGGACTTTTCTGCAAAGTAATTACAGTATGTTTTTTCCTTTTTTAAACAAATAGAAATTTGTTTAAAAATAAATTATAGGTTATTTTGCTCTGCTTGATAATGGCTATAAATAAATTTCTGTTGCTTTGAACCTATGAAGTTAAACAGATTTATTTATTTATATTTTAAGTTTAATAAGTAACTATTATTGTAATCCAGATTAAAGTTTATTTTAGATAAATGTTGTTGATAAGTTCAGATTTATTTCTTTCTAAGATTGAAATCAGATAGAATCAAATGTTACATTATTATTACTGTATTATATTCCATATAATAAGAAATAGTATTTTGGAAAAAACAATTATGGATTAAACTATAATCCTTTAATTAGATAGAATATTAAAATATTAACTCTAGAATCAAATTCTGTTTCCTCTACTTTCTTTGTGTCATTCCTAGATATTATAGATGATATATGTCAAAGTAAGGCTTGTGAGCTTCATGTGGCTCTTCTAGACTTTACTGTAGCTTACATATACTATTGAATTTTAATTATATAATGTATATATGTATATATATATTATATAATTCTGTGAAATTTTCTGAAAATAAAATTTGAAAATTAATCTCTTAATCACTATTTTATCAAAATGATGATAACATGATGATTTTAGAACATTGATAATGTTAAACAAATGTTTAGCTATTGACATTATATATATAATGTAATTTTTATGTTTTTTAATCTCAATTTAAAGTATAATTTTAATTAATTGATTATGACGAAATTTTTGAAATTGGAATGATTATTTTTATAATTATTGTTCTCTTTTTGGAAAGATGAAAATAATTAAAAAATTCTTTCGCATTCGTAAATTTTTGTAAAAAAATTTCTGTTTTATTTAAATCAAATAAAATAATAACAAAATCAAAAATTTGTTCTAGTGGGTCATGTTTGTTCAGTTGAGTACTTAGATTCCACTGTATTTTGTTTGTTGTTTTTATGAATGATTACTTACCTACAGTTTAAAAAAGTTTAATAACACTTATCTAAAAATGTTTAAATAAACTTTACTAAATGCAAAGATTAATCTATAAAAACAAAACAGTGACAATCCTAAAGGCTAAAATCTGAAAGCAACAATAATGACACCTGATCGATAGGATAAGGAAGTGAGGACAACAAAGAAAAAATTGTAATATCAATTTTCATTAATGTAAACCTGACAAAAGGCACAAAACAAGTTGAAAATTTCAATATTTTAAAATTCGTGGACAAATTTAAGATGACACGCATTCTTATTTGGGAAAAAAAGTGAATAATGGAGTTTACCCTTAAAAATTGTGAAGTTTTGTATGGAAGATTTTCAAACCTGTGTTAGAGAAAAACTGGAAGTTGTGATGTACAGGAGATATCCCCAATTTTTGAACCATGTAGAAGTACTATGTTGTGTGAGGAATACCTATACTTAGAAAAAGTTTTAAATTATTATTAATTCTGTTAACATATTCTATTATATGAATTTTTAGAGAAAAAAATTTGAAATAAGAATATGTGGTTGTCCAGAAGAAAGAAAATTTACTTATTATACTAACAGTGAAGTTGAAGCAAGAAATCTATTATATTTATGTAAAGTGAATCATCAGTATTATTTAGCTACTCGAACACAAGTGCAGATTCTTAAAAAACTTGAACAAGAAGGTAAATTTTCATTTCTTATAGACTTTTATTGACAAATTAAATGACAAATCTTGGTACAGATCAGAAATTACAAAATAGATTATATATTGTATATGTAAATTGATAATGTAATTAAACAGTATTTTATAAGTTTGATAAGTAAAATAATAAGAAAAATTTAATAAGTGATAATAAATATTGCAGATGGTATATATCAGTTTATTGATCCAGAACAGAAGTTATCGAAGTATGCACCAAAGTGGTGGAAAGTACTTCGTAATAATGTAAATACCATTTTGAAGTTTGACCAATTTTAAACATATTATTAACGTATCTAATTTTAACTTTATTTATTATTTAGGGAATTGATAATAGAAAAAATATCTTGACTTTTCATTTTCGTATAGAAATATACGTTGATTGTCATTTACTAGTAAAGTAAGTATATTGTTGAATTTGAAATATTATTTGTATTCAAACTAAAGTTTAAAACTATATTGATGTAGAAAAATATAAACAAAGTTTATTTTTTAATTAGTGATAAAATAGCAAGGCATTATTACTATCTTCAATTGCGTGAAAATGTCATTAAGTACAACCAAAGCATAAATGAAGAGAGAGCATTTCTCTTAGCAGCTTATGCTTTACAGGCAGATTTTGGGAATTATAATAAAAATATTCATGTTGGAAGATATTTTGAACCACAAAAATACTTTCCTCTTTCAGTAAGCAATGTTTATTTAAATTTTAATTAAGTAATAATTATTAATTTTTTTATGGTTTTGACAATGTGATTAACTTTACAAATGTTTGTATATATTNGCTTATAGCAATTACTTAGTATTGTTTCACCATCTTTTCTTAGTAATTTTAATTAATTAGGTTTCACAATAGGAATTTAGATGTTTATTCTAATTTATTTTAATAATGCAGATACTAATTTCTGGTTGATTGTTTCATAAGCACTATTTTGCAATCATATATTTGATTTTTTATTCTATATACATTTGTAATATAGTAAAGTATAAAATATATGAAAATTTTATGCATAATTGTTTAGTTATTATTTCAATATTATAAACAACAAGCAAATTATATGTATTTCACATTCTTAATGTATATATACATTCCTGGACACAATATTGAATACCACTTAAAAGTGAGAGTTGATAAGATATGGCTATATGACCAAAACAGGAATGACTCAAATGCAACTAACTGAGCAGATTGGTCAAGAAGTTTCTCCACTAATAAGGAAGTGACCTTGCAGAGGTGCATTATCAAGTTCTTGCATATTGTATTTGTGGAAGTAGTGTAGCTTGGATTTTGGGCAACAAAATGTTTTCTGAGGAAATCTGCTCACAAGTGAATATCTTATGAGAGTTACCATAGTGTGTGAAAAGTGAAGGAAATGACAAGCATTTATGGAAAGACTGTTATAAATATTATCCATAACTACAACAGTAGAATAAGAAAGAAACTCTGACAACTACATGCCCTAAAAAATCAGAATAGGAGGTGTTTGTTACAGAAGGCAAAGGCAATGGCAAAGGCAAAAATACAAATTCAGCTCATTACAAGTCTTTGCCTCCAGAAATAATTGGATTTAAATGTATCCTGTCATACTAAGTTATCTATTACATTATGCAAGAGGAGGGTTTTAACTACTACAAAAAAGACTCTAATCTCAAGGTATAAGCTGTGAGTGCCTGGAGTTTGCCCAGTACCATCTATTCAAGGGTTGAAACTAAGGTTTTAACATGAACAAATATTATGTTCATGTTAAAACTGTAGTTTCACATCTTTACTTTCATTTCATACTGTTACATTCTCATATCTCAACATTAGCACCATGAGGGTGGCATGTTATATGCCAGATTGGAGTGCCAAATGGTAGAAAATATTTTGTTCAGGAATGTACATAGTTTAAAATATGAGAAATATAAAATTCTATATGCTATAGACAAATTCTTTATAACATGTAACAGCAAAAAAATAATAGAATTCTATTTTCATGTTCCAATTTGTTTGATCCTGAAAATGACTGCTTAGTCAGTCAAAAACATTTGATTAATAAAATATTTTCTCTGGAAAAGGCTAGAACTGTTTCATTCAATATTAATTCATTATTAAAATATGAATAAGTCAAAAATTATGTCTTTTAGTTTGTTTTTGTTGTTAAGATATGAAGTCATTTAAAAATGATAACATTAAATGAATATTATATTTATCATGTTTAAACGAATGTAGTAATTGAAACATGGCTTGATTTATTAATTCCATAGGTCGGAAACCATATCGTGAATCATATATTTACAGTGATGAAACAGATATAGTTGATCAATTACAGAAGGAATCTACTTCCAGTGAAATCTCCATATTTTCAAAAGGTGGTGCTGAAAACAATAAACTGTCTTTCAATAAAAGTGAAGGTTAGTATCTATATTTTAAGATAGTACAATATCATATAAATATCATAAATCTCTTTAATGTAAGATCTAATTTGAAGCTTTAACTTTATCATTTATAAATTGAATTCTGATCTACATCTTATATTCCAAAATGAAAACAGTTATGAAATTTGAAATATTTAATTAGTGTCAATGTTTTCAACAGTTTTTATAAGAATTGCATTTAAAAATATATTTGTGGTTTTGAAGATGAGAATTAAAGAATATTGAGTTCAATAATTTGGTATGCAATAAAGAATAGATAAAATTATTTATCAGCATGAATATAAAAAATATTCATCATGAACAAAGCAAACATATAGAGAATTTTTTTGTTTCTATATTGATGAGTCCTTTATTTGGCTTAACTTCATATTTAAAAAAATATCGAAATATTTTTAAAATTAAATTTATATTACTAAAATAATTTAAAATTAAATATCAAAAATTAAATAAGATAGATTATAAATTTATGAATAGGCACAAACAAAAAATAAAGTATACAAATAAGTTACAGTCAGAATTCAAATGCCAACATGCGACACAAGTTTTTCTTGAACAGTACATGGAATTTTTTTATTGACACTGCTAACATATTAGGTGAAGAGAATGTACAAATTTATAATGACAATATAAGATATATTTTGAGTGATATTTTTATTAGTCCTTAGCTAAACAAATAAATTTTAAATTAAGGAGTCTTGATGAAATTTTTATCTACTCTGCTTTTCAAATGAAATATTGATTGAATATACTCATATAAAAATTACATCTATAAGAATTTAAAAATTTGCAATCAATGATAGATTATAAAAGAAAATTTGAATTTTTGATTTTTTTTTAAATGCACAGATTGAATATAAAAACCCAAGGTTTATTTTAGATTGTATATTGACTACATTATAATACATACAATTAATTCAGGTAAAAATGAGACTTAATTTTTTCTAATATATGTTTTTCAATCCAAATATAAAAATTTTTAAATGTAAATTTAAAATGAATTCAATAGATATGATTAACTGTGCATGACATTGTGTATTGTTTTTAGTTTATCTTATCTTGTAGGCATTCATCTGAAACATGAATAATTTCCTAGAATAATTTAATTATTTATAGATCAGTTTATTTTATTGAATTATGTTGAATAATTTTTATTTTAAGAAATAAAAATATTTAACTATATTTTAGAAAGATGGTTAATATTATTAGAATTTTTGAGATAAAAATAAACATTTATATACAGTTAACTAAAGTTATTGAGAAGAATAGGCAAGAGAATTTCAATTTTTAGAAAATATTTCTTATTGAACTAAAACGTAAAATATTTTTGTTCAAGTACAGAAAATTATAAAATAAAGCATTCTTCTTTTTTTATTTCTAAGAATATTTGTAATTATGTCTCATTGTCATAAGATTTTTTAAAAATTTCTAATGACATTATGTTTATATAAAACTGTATTTGAAAATCATAATGTATAAGAGTGGACTTATTTAATTACTATTTTTGCAAAGACTTATAAAATTATTAGATTCTTATGATAAAACTTGCATGATGATAACATTTCATTACATAAAATTCTCTTGTGAATTTATTTTTAAGACTAATAATTAGCTTTTATTAAAATTTAACTACAAATATTATATTATTTATATTTTTAATATATATATTTATTTATCTATTAAATATACAAATAATAAAAAAGTAATAATTGACCTTTTATTAAAACAGCAAAGAACCTTGAGAAAAGAAATATATTTCATATGTTCTAACATGATTTTGCAATAGCATGTGTCATGTAAACTTAATACTTGTGAAAAATTATACTGCTTGATATGTGATATATTGAAGAGATAGTAAAGTTTGATGTTTATTTTTAGTTTATATCTCTGTATAGATTTCATTTATTAATTTAAATTCTTATATATGGTATTGAGATTTAATTAAGCATAAATATTTGATTGTTATGCCTTGCATATATAGGTTGTCTGATACTGGTTTTTTTAAACAAACATTTGCTAGCTGAAACCAAGAAGGATTAAACTTGAATGGAATTGAATTGATCATATGTTAGATGTTAGTTTGTTTTGAGATATCCATGACTCTGTGCAGGTGTTTTATTTTGTTTATACTGCAGTCAACATGTTACATATGGTTGTCATTTACTTTCCTGGGTTGGGATGCCACCATCCCTACTGTGACCTTTGACACATAACAGTGACATTCTAATCATGTGGTGGGAAGTGAGAGTTTTTGGTCGATCTTGGAATAGTTGCATGTTATCATCTTGAAATAAACTATTTATTTCCATAGATTTATCAGTTCTGATATATCTTATTTTACAGCATATAAGATGCACTCCCATTTCATCACAGAATATTTATTAAAAAAATATTTTGTATATTTAAGTAATTCTGTGCTGTTGGTGCTCAACCTTAAATTTTTTTTACTGTATTCTAGTTTAAAAAAAGAAAACTAAAATCAGAATGTACACTTTTATTTATTTGGAAAAAGAGGAGTCTAAAATAGATCATTTACAATTAAAATTTACCATCAAAATATTTAAAGTGAATACATAAAAAAGCTGCTTAGCTGTAGTAAATATGTTTTGAATAAAGATATTATTGGTTAATTAGAGTTGGACTAGGTAGAGGTTACCTGCATCTGCTAAAGGTGATTTGTGCAGTTCCTTAACCTATAGGCAATTGCAACTTAACATATGATACAAGGTGATTTTTGAGCCTACTTTTTGGACAAAAGTCACATCTTATATGCCTTAAAATACAGTAGTTATATTAGTTTTCTGTGGCAATATTTTTCAAAAATAACAGTAATGGAGTCAAATCACCAAAAAGGGATTTCTATCATATTTTGATGTCTTACTACATTATAGAAGCACAACTAAAATAATAAGTTGTGCAGGAAATTATTTATATTACAGAGTTAAAAAAATATATTTCAAAAGGACTTATCAACTTCTACAGGCTCCATACCAGAGAGATCCTGTAAAAATTGCATGATCTAGATATGTTTCAATTTTGTTCTCTAATGCAATGAAGGTCATAGAATTGACATTACAAAATTGATTTCATATTCAACAATAACAACATTCAAAAATATTTGCCCTAAGAATTGTTTAAACTTAAATTGCAACAAATAGATATTTAAATAATAAGTATTAAAATCATTTTTTTTTTGTTTCCCTTATTAAAAGTTTTCTAATATAAAGACAAAAAAGAATTTATGCATTTCAGTACATGAATAAAAAATAGCTTGTTCCAAATAACTTTATTGATTTTGAAAGTCTTGTTATTCCAATATTTATTCTTTCAGTTTTATTCAATATTATGATGAGAACAACTATGAAAAAAAATATTGTTTAAAGAATTGTTTTAAAGAAACTTGGAGAAAAAGTTTTAATATATTATAAACTTCCATATCATTATTTTATTAAGAAATCTTGCCTTAATAGTAATCTATTCATCTATTCACAAATTCCTTTTTTATCTTTCTTATAATATTGATGACAGTAAGCAAATGCTCTTTAATATTTGAACACTTAATAATAATCTAATAAACAATAAACATTGTAAATTAATAAATTATTAAATTTAATTTTTTTATTATTTAATAAATTCTTGAGGACTTTGAACTAAGAGTAATGGAAATGTGTTATTACTACCATTTTAATAAATTATTATTCACCTATTTAAAATTTCATTAAATTAATTGGATAAAGTAAAAACTAAAATTGGTAAATATGATTATAATTTCAATATCATACCTTAAAGAATATTTGATAAATCATTGACAAAATATTAAAAGATTTTTGAATATTTATTTATAAATGGTGAACCCAAACAAATTTTGCATAATTGTGGTAACAGAGACAGTTGCTGATATTAGAACTGTTTTTCTTGTTTGCCCATAGGATTTCTGATCTGGGAATTTCTAGGACATAATTCCCAAGAAATTTGAAAATTTATCTTGTCTTGACATCAAGACCTTACAAAATTATATTTATAAATTCAAAGCAGGAAAGTATTAAATGTATTATAATCTTTAATTCCTGTATAAGAAGTATTAATTCCTGTATAAGAAGTATTATGTCATAGATGTCGATTAAAATTTTATTACAAATCAATGAAACTGTTAATATAACTGCAGTTAATATAGCATATGTAATTTCATACATAAAAATCTGTGTTTCTTTTAAATATAATGCAGGCTTACTCTACAGAACATCTTCCCAGTTAACATTTTTCTAGTAGAACATTGTTTGATTTTTAATAATTAAACTTTATAGAATGCTTGTTTTTCTCAATACAATGTTTCTCTATTGATGTTTACACACAGAAAGTTTATTTTTATGTCAATACAACAGATAACTGTGACATCATTGACAGTCGATCAATTTTACAATTTACAGAAGTACCAGAGGAATTTTTTTCAAATATATAGTAATTTATTTCTTGTTTTTTTTGTTGCAAATTTCTGTTTGCATTTTTCTTTCTTTAACAAATCTCTATTACAGTAATAGTGATTTGTTAAAGAAAGAAAAATGTTACCATGTCATATTGTAAATATAATGTTTATGGTATGGCATACAAACTGTATATATTACTGCATAAAAAAGCTGTTTGTTAACAAACATGTTGATCATTTGGTGATCAGAAAGCAATGTTTTAAGAATTTTACTGTAATATATACCATAGTTTGTGTTACTTTTATATAGGTGTTTTATTGTGTTTGTTTTAGAAAATTTGGTTGAGGTTTTGGATTGTTTTGTAATTCATTATGATTTTTTTATTTTTTAATTTAAAATAATGGAAAATAGGCTCTTAGTTAACATTTTTGCACAAACCATTTTATTTTTAAGAACAGATTACTGATGTTAAATAGGGAATGCATGTACTGTACAGTAATATTCTTATATAATTAATATGACTATAAACCAAGCACAACAAAACAGCATTGGCAATTGATATATTTATTATAATTTCCTCTCCATCATAACACACAATTATCTTCCTCTTTAGGCAGCTCATTATTTAATGTAAGCATTTTGTTTGCATTTGATATGATTTCACTTCCTTATTTTTTTTCTTTTATGAAATTAATAATAATAATTTTTCTTAAATTTGTATTTTGTGTGTTTTAATTTAGCATAAAATTTGTTACAATAATGCTTATTTTAATTTAAAACCTGTATTTAATTAATTTCATTAATTAAAAATGGCAATAAATGTGCTGAAACAGAAAAATAGCTAAGACTAGAAACCTTATCTGCCAAACATAGTAGTACATTAATAGCAATTGAGCTACATTTATTGTGTTTTTGATTTCATTAATTATTCTTTATTCAGTTTAATTGGCTCCTAAAATTGACAGAGATTAATAAAATATTCTACAGATAATAGAAATGAGTGTTACCTGCATCTTTTTCATTTGTTTTATTTAAATAATATATGAGTACTTTTTCTTTTAATTTTTTAGAAGATTCCTCAGGCTTGTAAGCAAATAATATAAAATATGAAATTATTTAATTTTTAAACGGTTTGTATACAATATTTGTTTTATAAAACTTGAAATATTTCAGAATTAAATATTTAAGAAGATACAGTTAATCTCACCTTTAAAAATTCTCTCAAAATAAATAAATAAATTCATAGGAATACACTGAAAGACATACAAGAAAACAGATATTTGGTTTAAGGATTGAAGGAAGAATTTAATATATTATGTTTTTCTTCAATGTTTACAAATTATTTTTGTAATTGAAGAAAAATATAATATATTGAATTAGTAGTTATAACTTTAATTACTCATATAAATTATGATGAGTATTAAAAATTTTTTAATATTTTTTTAATTTAATTAAGCACTTTACTTATTTGATTCCATTTACAAATTTTTTATGCTGTTTCATAAACTATCTCATTGAACAGTTCTTATTAATGTTAAGAAAACATTAATGAATAAATACTTCTATCCCATTTTTTGCTGAAAAATTACATATTACATAAGTATTGTATAATTTTATATTAATGATATTACATAATTTTACCATGTTAACTTTTTACTATTGTTAAATAGTAATGACAGATGAAACATGAGTTGTTATTATTTTACTACTAAAACTTTTACTGTGTAGAAAAATAAATAAAAATAAATTAGAAAGTTAATTAGTTTTTTATAAGCTTGTTTTCTCTGAATTATTAAATACCTATCAAATATTGGTGAGTTGTTGTAGATTACAACTTATGTAATACAATACGGTAATACAAATTTACCTAAAAGTTTATTTTGATATACAGTGAATTGTATGTTGCTATTCAATTTAAATATAATTGTTTAATTGTTAACTATTCATCTGATTATAATTTCCCCTCCAACTGAAGAATCCATGATGCATTCTTCAGTGATAAGCATACATTTTGCTGAAGGGAACTAATCACAGGGAACAAACCAGTAATTGATTATGCCAACTTTATTATACATGAAATGTATTTTGGGCTTTCTGCTCCTCTTCAGTCCTTTAATACAGATCTAGATCTGATCTGAAGATGGGAAGAAGGCCCAAAATACATTTCCTTCAGAAAAATTTATGCATATTATTAAAGCCAGCAGAAATATTTGTTATAAAAAGTGTATGACAAATATTTTTAATTAAATTTTAATTAAATATGATATTTATGAATAAATTTGATGTTTTGAAACAATTTTTAATCACATATTAAAAATTTTACAGAAATTAGTGCTTTATTACACATTATTTATATCGTTATCAAGTTAGGGAAAAAACCGAAAAAATATGGATTATGGATGGATAGAAACATATGGATAGAAATAATATGGATAGAAACATAAAAATAAAATTGCTGAAATTATATTTAATTAAGATTTATGCATAATAAAAAACAGAAATTTATATATACTATATTGACTATCAACAATTACTGGATAAGTCAAGTTAATTAAATTGATATATTGTATCTATAGATAGATGTACAGATCTGTAAAATTTAACTTGTAAAAAAATATGAAATCTTGTTTTTTTTATTTGAATAAGAAAATTGAGTTTAAATTTTCAAAATTTTATACATAAATTGGCAGATTACTTTACTTATTACATAAGTTTTATAAGCAAATGTCTTTTGCTAAATGATTAATCAGATTTAATTGAGAAAACAAACTTTGCAAAAGTAAATGTTTGAATGAATAAGTGATTTTATTCAAAACTTTTAAATACATTAAGTTAAAATTAATTAATTGATTGATGATTAATCAATATCATAAATTTATAAGATTTATGATATTGATTAATCCATCATGAAAATATGAAAAATATTTGAAATACTGTATTAAATTTAAAATATTATCAATGTCATTAATGATTTTAATACAAAAATAAAATAACAACATGAGTATAAAGTATTAAAATATATGTTAAAATAAACTTTTTAAATTTTTTAAAATAACATACAGTATATATTTTAATTATTCTAGAGTTTCTCTTTAGTTATGTTTATTTTATTTTAAAATTTTAATTTAAGAAATAATCAATTTTTTAATTTTTTCCAGAGAAAAAACTCAAAAGAAATTCACACATAAGTATTCCATCTGTCAAATTAGATGCTTATGAATCATTTATTCAGAATGATAGTGGTCATTCCTCCTTTGCAGAGAATAGAAGCAATTCTGCATCTCCTGATGTTGCTCCTCAGATTTTACATGAAAAATTACAACAAGCATCTCACAATACTACAAATGTAATGGAAGATGTTAATTTATCATCCATACCTTATCATTCAAATCAAGTGGTTTCTCCAGATGTAAATAACCTTGATAGCAAGAATAATAAGGATTGTTGTCATGTGGCTAATCCATATACAGAACAATGTTCAAAATTAAATGAATATAGGATATCTGATAACACATTTAATATACAAACAAGTGAAACTAGTCATAATTTAACAAGTCAGGATTGTTGGAAGTCATGTGCTGTTCATGGACTTGATTGTAATAGAATAACACCATTAGATAGCAAGTGTAATAATGATACTTCAGATTCTTTAAAAGAACCAGTATTATCTACTTCTGAAATATCTAATTCTACTGCAGAAACACCAATCATAACTGGAAGGACTCGAATTGGCATTTCATCTCTGAATCATCAACAGAAAAATGGTTTGCATCTTCAAGAAAAATTACATTTTATGGATATTGGATCCAGCTCTTATAAATATCAATATAATTTGTCATCAGATTCTGGTGTTTCTTCACCTTCAAATGGAACTTTAAATAAAATGGAAAAATGCAGCATATGTTCCTCTCATCTTCATAATGAGGGAACAATTAATAATAATTCTTCATGTCATTTTACTTCATTTTCTGATTTTTCTGAAGATGAACTTCATTACATTCCTCCACCTCCAGGTTACGAAAATTCACCCGAAAGTATCACCAAATCAATAGACAAAACAACAGAAATTCAAATTCAAAATGACATAGATCATTCCGATATTTTAAAAGTTATACCAAAGGTATGTTGAACTTGAAATATTTAAATTTTAATAAATTAAACTTTTAAAAATAATAATAGATTTAATACAATTCTATTGAGGATATTCATGCTAATAACTATAAAATAAGTATAAAATTTTGTTAACGAATACAATATAATTAACAAATTATATAGTAGGATTCTTTTCATTCTACAATATGGCTAATTAACTGTTAAGATACTAGAGGTAAGCAGTTACAGCTGCTATCTCAAGTTAAATTTAATAATTAGAAATAAATAAATTTAATTTAAAATATTCTAAAAGAAAAGTAATTAATTAACTATTGATTCAGTTGTATTGTATGATTAAAATATATTGGGTTGGTTTTTATGTAATTATGTAATCAGAGATGTAGCCAGAAATTTCTAAGTCACCTGCATGGATTATGGCTTGGATAGATTAGCATAGGTGAGTAGGTTACTGTAAAAACACTATAGTCTGTGATTGTGATCACTAGCAACACATTGTGCAAGGAGCTGTCATATCGGTATGTTTGCTCTTTGCATGTTATATGCAAGCCGTATGCAAACTAGTGACAATTTGCACTTGACAATGCTCAATAAAAAAAGAAAAGGCTGAACAAGAACAAGTATCAAATTTTATTCTGCTTCATCTTGTGGATGTTTATATAGCGTAGTATTTGAGTCTGTTGTTTTGTTTCATTCAGTGATCAATAGTCAACTGCTTGTGACATTCTTTTACACTATTTACTTTTAAACTTGATTTGGGAATGGCAGTTGTGGCTGCCAGAAAGAGAGGGATGAAAGAGTGTTAGTGTGAGAAATGCTGCCTCTTGCTCTCCTGTATGGCTACATCCTTGTATAATATAATTATTTTTTATATTCTCTAAATTATGAATGGCATAGATTATCCATTCTTTTAATTTTCAAAGAGCTGTTACTTGCATTCCTTTTTTTTCAATTCATCAAGTCTTACTTTTTTAAATTAATAAAATCATGCACAAATTAATTTTTTTTCATAAAAATTTTTAAACAATAATTCTAAATATTCAGATATGAAATCTGTTACATTTTTATTATTTCTTTAATTATTGCTTCAAGCAATAAAATTTTATGTCAGAACAACGTTATATCTGGACAATTTAGATTTAAAAAGTAAATAGATAGTTTAATATATACAGTGAATACAAACGTAATTAGAAATATTCTAAATTAATATTGTGAAGAAAATGAAGTTTTTTATATAAATATATTTTATGTAAATATAAATCTTATATAAAATGTTTTTCAATTGCAAAAATAGGATTGTAACTTTATAATTTTCTTCAAATATTAAATATTTATTCTATTTTTTTCTTGGTGTTTTTCCCCTGCTGAAAATTTCATTACATTGTATTTTTTGCTCAGTAAATTTTCTTTTGACAAATTGTATTTGTAGTTAGAAAGTTTTTAATTCAATTAATTACAAATGTGTTAAATTTACAATTAAAATAATAGNAGAATTTCATCATTAATCTCTACACAATAAGAAGCAAAGATTCTTAATCCGATTAAAGGCAACGATATAGAACCAATGGACTTAAAGATTGATTTGTTAATATTCTGTATATAATATAATATTGTAAATAATAATTAATTTCTTTTCCTATCAGCATAATGCGGAGTGCCACAATTCGTCTTCTACATCATCAGTTCTCGATCTTCAACAGCTTCGAAAGAAAAGTCAAGATTTAGGTCTTCCATTACTTTCGGCGCTTTGCAACGATCGTTCTTTATTAATGTTACCAAAGACCGTGCCATCGTGTACAAGGGATCGTCATCTTGGCATCAATTCCAACAAAAGACGATTTTCGTGTAGTGCAGTGAATCCATCTTATATCAGCGAAATGTGCAATTCGGACGAAATTTTAGGAGTAAGAGAACGATCGCATACTACTCCTCAACTTAGGCCAATCAGTTGGCACATCGATAGGGATTTTCCTTGGCAGAATTCGAAAGTTGCCGATATACAAAACATTCCACCATTGATCGAGAATATTTCCATAAACGACAACAAAGAACCGATGTGTTTAGTTACTTCAAGTATATTAACATCATTTTCTAACGTTCAAACGGGTTCCTCGACGCAATACATTAATTCCAATCCATTACGCCAAATGATTCCCACCAAACTATCTTCAGCTTTTGGAGGTGCTTCACATTCTCCATCAAAATGATGGTTCCATTAATTCTGTATTATAAACTTTCTGTAATTCGGTCTTGCTCAAATATCATTTATATTAAATGACATACAGAACTCTAAACGCATAGAAATTGTATAAAAAACGAATAAAAAGCAAATACTAGAAAGAAAATTATCAGATAATTTGTGGCTGTTGCAATAATTATACTCCAAAATTTAAGCCATTGTGATTTAAAAATCAGGAGCTTACTTCTGTAAAAAAAAAAAAAAAATATTTACCGAAAGCTTCGCATCTGCCATAGTTATTGCCACCGGATATATTTATAAATTGAATTTATGATATTTGCTATGTATATTTTTCTGAATAAAAGTTCAAAAGATTTAATTAAATTATTTAGGTTTATATATATAAAGTTCGAGCTATACAAATTTTATATTCAATTGGATACAGAACAAAATAATAAATAATTTCTTTTAACTGAATTTATTCATTTTTTTTTTCAGTACTATCAACGTTTAATATAGATATACAATAAAACCTGTTCAAAACGGAAAAAATATTCGGTACTGTGTGATTCCGGTTTACACAGGTTTTACTGTTGTACTGTACAGTACGTGTAGCAACTATGGAAGCATTGCGTCCTGTTAATCCAAGAAGAAAAATTTTTTATAAGGAAAATTGAGAGAAATGGCATCTCGATTTAAGAGCAGATAACTTTATATATATATTAAAATATGGAAATATTTTTGATTTTATCCCGCTAATTGATGGATGGCCAGTATTGAGATTTCCAAGTTTTACGTTCGCTATCTTTCGTGAATTGAGATAAAATGCCTTGTTATGATATTTGCATATTTTCGACAGGTCGTTTCTTTAGAAACTTAATTTTTTTCCCGCTCGGTGTAGTTACGGCAGCATTTCTTGATGCATTATCTCCGTCACCGAAGTTCCTATTGTAATTATTCTGCCACGTTGTTTTTCACGTAATAATTTTCAAGGAAGATATCGTAAATTTCGTTCCCTCTAAAATCTAAAATTCTATAAAATCAACGTGCGACATATTTGAAAATGTAACCGTTTAAAAATAATAATAATAAATGAATTTAAATTCGCAAATTTGATATTTAAAATAGTTTATAATTTAATATATTTAAGTGTTTTATCGCTAGATGGCGACACATCAATGTTTAATTTACCAAACGATTATTGTATTATGATGAGCAAACTTTCAAAACTTTGAAATTTGTATGCACATGTTTTTGTTTTTACGTAATTTTATAATTATTTTAAAATATTTTAAATTATCTAAAAATCCAGAAAAAAAGTTAAATATTCTGGTAGAAATTTTTAAATAGTTTATATTTTTTATATTTATTCCAGCATTAAAATTTTTATGAATTATTTCTTTAAAATTATTTTCTTTTTAAGTGTTTAGGGACTTTAAAAAATTAAAAAAATACAATACAAATGACTCGGAGCAATACCCGTATATAACGCAGGTTAATCTGCTCTTATTGGCTAAGGGATTCGTGACGAAATTTAAAAACTTATTACGTTTTCAACAATACCGAACTTCAACCGTTTTTAATTCTCATACAAAAGCAGAAAAAGTGTATTAATTAAGAATACATAGAAAGAAATATTTATTTATTTATATGTTAGTAATTCGAAGGGATCAGAGTGGAGTATGAGTGGAGCCAACGTATGACGTCAGTCGTTAATCCCACAGGTGTCGTTGAAATGGGGTACGGATCAAACGGCAGCTTGTAATTGTCGCTAATACAACTACAGGGACGGACAATAAAAGTCACGCAGCTTACAATCGTACAAGCGAACGACGAGTCATTAAGAGAATACGGAGATGTTTGTACAATGTCTCCCTTGAAAATAATGTTAAGGACTTCATTCTAAATCGACATAAACTTGTCAATTATAAAAAAAAGAGAGATTTTTTTTAATTGCTTTCGATCATTCCAAAAGGAACAAACGAAGGAGAAAAAGAATGGGGGAAAAACGTTTCAAAGTAATATAATAGAGTCGTTATACTGGGGAAATCTGTTTTGTCGTATCGGCTATTTGTGTTTGACCTCTGGGATTGGACCTGTGAGATAAGAGGTAATGTACTGAAGCGATTCGCAGTATAGATTGAGCGAAAAGATTTTTTTTATTTTTTATCTTCTTTCCTGTACGGATATCTTAGAAATTCACTTTCTTTTCCTCTATATTAAAATAATTCTCTACGATCATTAACTATAAACTCTTCAATAGGCCTTAATAATTACGACATCAATCATTCGTCCAATAGAAAATCTCCTCCCATTCCGCGATTTAACACATCAACTATCCAGTATGGTAAGTATTAAGAATGCTGATTGGATAAGAAGATTTAGGGATGTCATCTTATAAAATACAGTGAACCGCTTATGTTATATACAAACTGTTAGTGTGGCGAAATAGCCAAAAGTTAGAAACGTTTTATGAATGTTGACCCGTATAACGCGTTATACGGGGTTCACTGTAATTATAAACTTGTGTTTCCTAACGTTATATCGCATTACGGCAAATTTTCTAGATACATAATGATGTATTTTCTGAAAAGAAAAGATGATGGAGAGACAGGCAGAATTCTGATACTTTCTTAGGATTTATGTTGCACACAAACTACTCTTAATGGGGACAAACTTTATCTATGATTGGTGGGTGACACAAAAGACAAACGGGACTACAGACAAACGACCACAATAATTATCTAGTTCTTGGGTCAAAACCGATCGCGCGCGTAATAATGTATCGATTGAACAATTTATTGGATGGAAGGACATAAAACCATGAGATAAATGAAAAGTACTATCGATGATATAATTAACTTTGAAAATTTTTACATATATTTTCTCGTTACGCATAATAGAACGAGAGGCAGAAAGCCAAGTTAATTCAATTCTGGATGAAGCCATTAAAATTTGGCACCGATTTGTATCAATAAAAAAAAAAAAAGAAAAAACAAGAAGAAGAAAAAATGAATTGAGGAGAATTTGAAATCAAAAGATGATAGAATTTTCTTATCAGATATAGGATTTTGTGCAATGAGCTTAAGATAGAGAAAGGAGAGATAAGATAATGTTAATCGAATCGATTTTCTTTTCTTTTTAATCTCACTTATAGCTTTTATTTGATAATTTAATTGCAGTTAAAATGCTTGATTTTCGTTAATGAAGCTTGCACAGTTATTTAAAAAAAAAAAATTAATTTATAAGAATTTTGTAACATTTCACATAAACCAGAAAACCATTACCGACAGACAATCGTGAAAATAATTATATTTATAGCTTAAGAATTGATAAATTGAGATTAAATCTTGATAAATATTTTAATAATAAGCAGAATTGTCTTTAAAATATTCTAATAATAAATTTAATAATATTTCGAGGGAGAATTACAAAAAAATTAATAAATAAAACTCGAATTTACATATTGTAACGTATTTTTAAAATTTAAATTATTGTAAAGATCAATTTTACATCAAATTATCTATATAGTAAGGTAAAATTTTGATTTGAATTCACGTGACTTCCGGTCCAAATGGGAAATTTGTACACTAGATATGAAAATCTTTCCTTCTTTTCATATCCGGTCTCGATTTTCACCTGTTTAACTTCCGTTCTTGAGATAAGAAAGGACTGACGAACAGACGGACGACAGTGGGATTTTATAGGTATACAATTTAAAAGTTGTAGCCCAATTAGCATTAATTAATATAGAGTTTTATTTATCTATATTAAAACAATTTACAGTGACTTTAAACAGTATAAAATATTATATCAATTTATATTATAGAGATATAATAATTTGAAACTTGACGCTATAATGATGATAGAGTTAGTGGTTAATACGATAAAACAATTTTAACGTTAAATATATATATATAGGCCTATTTAATAAAATAAAAACTAGTAAATTAAGTTTAAGTATAGATAATAAATATTAAAATAGTATATAATTTAATAATAATAATAATTCTATTGTATTTAAGGATACAATAAAATTATTATTATTATAAAGAGTAAGAGTCATTTATCATATGACAAAAATTTAAAATACAATTTTATATTAGTTAGTTAATTGGTATTTTACTTATTTTACGAAAAATAATTATAATAATTGGTTAACCATCTCTAATGACATTATTATATACAGATTATAATTGGTAATAATGTAAGGGACAGTTAGCTAATTATTATATTTAAAACTGTATTTTATATAAATAAAATAAAATAATTTAATTTAATATTTCACTTATTTATTGAGGGTAGAGCTCACTCAAGTGCCTAGGATGAAAAAAAAAAGAAGAGACTGAGAGGATGAAGGGAGGAGAAAAGATAGGATGAGTCAGAGAGTATGAGGGAAAACTTATAGAGTTTAAGATTTAAAAAGGTAAAAAAAATTAAATTATAAATTTAAAAGTTATTAAAGAAATTAATGATATATATTTCTAAATATTATTTCTAAAAAATTAAAATTCATTAATACAGTATATTATTCATAAATTAAATGTAAAATTAAAAAAGTTTTTAAATCTAACAATTTCCAGTTCAAGTTAAAAAAAGTTAGTCAGAGAAAGTAAAATATAAAATGCAAATTTTAATATCGTTTAAAAAAATTGATATATTAGACATTTATTACATGAATTTTTTCATAAAAATGCCACTATCATCAAAACTGATATATTATTTAAACTGTGAAATAAATTTAGTAGAATCTAACATCCCGCTTTAGCTAAAGTAGGATAGAACCAAGTAAAATCGAATTTATCGAAGTACATTTTTTTTCTATATATGTTATATGTTTTGATTTATAGAGATACATATCATGGTAATTTATATAGTTGTGAATAGTTAGTATTTCTTCTCTGCCTTCCCTTGATCTTTACTCCATTCTATAGTAGAGAAACACTTTATCAAGACGAGGTTAGGAAATAAAATAGAATCGAGGAAGATAAAAATTCTAGCACACTTTTTAACTCGATTGGAAATTGCTTTTGAGAAAATTACTTCAATTCGGATTATTTAGATTGCTTATCAAGATATGGATGATATTTATTGTTAAATCACAGATTGTGGAAGGTCAGTAGATGACTATCGCCCCTATACTATATCTATAGCCTAGAAAATGATCTGGGAAAGATGCTTTTTATTGCTCGGAAGTACATCCAACATCTAGCAGATGCAATAATAAAATAAACCCCAATATCTACCCTTTCCTTAATATCTATATCCATAACTATAAAGAAGATTATATATGTATTTTTATTCTATTTCTGATAACTTACCCATTCCGTTATCGAGGTAATTGCACGAATAAAGTAACTCACTTTATCTGCAAGATATTTACATATATTTATATGTAAATTTAGAAGGAAAAAAAGAATGGAACTGATTTGTTTGAAACATTTAGCAATAGATACTTTTTGTCTTTAACCTGTATAGACATTTATAAAATATCTAGAATTATATTTTAGTAAAATTAAGATCGAAGATAACTCCTTTCAGGGGGAATTTTTAGATTGAAATAATTTCCGGTGCAAACCGGAAGTTCGTATATAGTTAATCGGGACTTTCTGCCCCTAAAATTTCCATATCTAGTCTCGACTTTCATATATCTAACTCGTTTCTCGAGATTAAGGAAGGGCAGACAAACGAACGGACGAACGACTGGGAATTTATAGGTCCATAATTTTTTTAAATTGCAGCCCAAAAAATATGTTAAGTTAGAATTATAGAAGGAAAAAAAATAGCATCCTTTGACTTTTATCATTGTCTGATATTTCAATTGTAATCGTTTGCTATTAAGCTTATTTTTTTATATAACTTATAGACACTCGATAAGTTCCCACCCTCCTTCTTCTTTCTCTAGCATCTCGGAAAGTCTTTAATCTTTCTAAATCCCTTCTTACGGTTTTGTAACTCGTTTATCACGATCAGCGAAGTATTATTTGTCTTTTTTAAATCTTTTTTTATTTAATTAAAAAAAAGTCATCCTATAACGCATTTAATATCATATAGGCCTAGTTAATGAAAACCCCATAATTTATATATATAAATGGAGGAATCTTTCGAACGTGAGAAACAAAGAAAAGACCATTTGGAATCTCAGTTTTTTGTTTTCTTCAGGATAAAACTAATCAATACTTTTCTCCCGACAGCGATCTAAACAGTTCTATCAAGATAGACGACATACCTTGACAAAACAGTCTCTAGGAATTATCGACACGTGTCCTATTTTAACCTTCTAAACTAAGATAAAGAAGAAAAATAATCAAAGATTGATTGAGCATTTGATGAATAAATTTATAAGTAAATTCCTTTTCTATAATTAATCAAAATAATTTTATCAATTATTCGTGCCTACTAATACTACACAGAATACCTAAATTCAATCGTCTAAACTAAGTCGTGGCTTAATATAACTACTACACTTGATTAAATAGTTTAAAAAAATTAATTCTATTAAAGTTTTTTCTATTATTCGTTTAATAAAATATTTATAATTTTTATATAAAATCAAATTTTATTCTTTCCTAATCGCAAATTCTATTNAATCTCTACACAATAAGAAGCAAAGATTCTTAATCCGATTAAAGGCAACGATATAGAACCAATGGCGTTTTACCGTCCTCTTTTATTTATTTTACTTTTTTCCCCCTCGTCTTAAGTGCAGATAGAGTCGTTTTAATGTTTGAATCATTAAGAATTACTAAGTATTTGGTGCGTGTGTATATATATATATATACAAGTGTATATAAAAGAGGGAATAACAAACATTTAAAATTTTGTTTGTTTCTTTTTTTGCTGTAACTTTTGCCTTCTTATCGTAAAAAAAAGTACTCCGCGCATCGATTTGTCTTTTATGACCACATTAAAGAAATATTCAACTAATCAAAGGATTCGTTGGAATTTTATGGCACGAATCATCATAAGTTTTTATCGGAAATGCTCTCCTTTGAATTTATTTCGAAATCCTCGACTTAAAACTGTTTAAATCGATTTATGTTTCGTTATCAAATTATCTAATTAAATTTTAAAAAAAAAGTAAATTAGAAATTTGTGATGGTTATTGCCGATGAAGTGATGAAGTTTTCTTGAAAGGAATATTTCCAAATACAGTAAAACTTCTCCAAAACGGAAACCTGCCAAACCGGAAAAATATTCGGTAAACAACGACTCCGGTTTACACAGGTTTCACTGTATTAGTCTAAGTATTGTAGTTTTATCACCAATATTCTAATTAAAGAAAGTTGCAAATTGTTTTTTAAACTGATTTGGTAGAGCAAATAACTTAATTTTTTTAAATTATAATAATTTAACGATTATTTTAAGGTTTCTTAGCTCTTAGCAACTTTACTGAAATTAGATACTATATTTTCCTAAATTACAATGATTTAAACAAAAGATTATGCCTTTACATTACTCTAACCACATATATTACGCCTATACTAAATTATATGACTAAAACTAAAGATTGTATGCTTATCTTAATTATATGATTTAAATTAAATGTTTAAAACTACTTTTCTAAATTTAAGTACGGTAAAAAGCTGCGTAAACTGGGATCTCGCGGTACTGAATATAGTGAAACCTGTACAAAACGGAAAATATCTTCGGAACGGAACGATTTTCTATGTTAAAAAAACCTGTGCAGAACGGAAACCTGCTAAATCAGAAGAAATATTCGGTACACTGCAATTCCGGTTTACACAGGTTTTACCGTATTTTTCCGTTTTGAGCAGGTTTTTTTTTTAACAAGGAAAATTGCTTCGTTTCAAAGAATTTTTCCGTTTAGGCAAGTTTTCGTTTTATTCGGGTTCCGTTTTGGATAGGCTTCACTGTAATTGTTTTTCTTTCCTTTTTTAATTTGAATTTCTTAGGATTTTATGAGTTAAGACGAGGGCATCGTTTATGCAACATGTTATCACACAAGACGTGTAGCGAATTTCATTCTAGAAATTTTGCAAATAGAAAAACAAGTTTCTAACGTGCTCAAGAACGTAGTTGAATTACAGATACTTTTTCTTTGTCTTGCAATATCTGTTTCAATCGTGCAATTGCGGCCATCTTGAATCGTGAGCAGAATTCTCTTTCTTTTTATCACTGCATTACTACATATAAATCGTGTTTTATCTTTAAAATATTCGTTTAATTAAGTACAAAACATACGAAATTTAATATTTTTTTAAAATGAATTTTAAATTAATATTTTAATTCTTTTTAAATAGTTTATAACCTCATAAAAATATTATTATTACTTCTTTCTTTATTTTTTATTATAAAAATTTTATGAAGTTATCTAAATAATATATAAAGGTTATTAATGTTAAAACAGTTATTATAATTATTAAATAAGTAAATTGCTAACACGCTGAATTTTATATTAATAAATATTTTAAAGGATTAAAAATAATAATAAAATATACAGTAAAACCTGTGTAAACCGGAATCACTCTGTTCCGAAGATTTTTTCCGGTTTACGCAGGTTTACATTTTACTCGGGTTCCACATTTTGGACGGGTTTTATTGTATTTTCTTTTTTATCAAATTGGAAAATATAATTTCAGAAAAAAAATGTATATATAAAGAAGACAAAAGATTTTTTTCCATTCTCTTTAAAATAAATATTACAAAATCATATTTACTATATCAAATCGAAAAGTTTTATATATAGAGAGAAGTCTAGAGTATTTGATTTTTTACTCAAAGACAGCATTAAATCTTATGGAACACGAAGTAAAATATTTTATTTAATTATTACAATAAAACCTGTCCAAAACGGAACCTTAATAAAACGGAAACCTGTCGAAACGATTAAAATTCTTCGAAACGCAGCGATTTTCTTGTGTTAAAATAACATCTGTTCAAAACGGAAACCTACCAAACAGGAAAAAATAGTCGGAACCGTGTGAGTCCGGTTTAAACAGGTTTTACTTTATATTGTTTCTAGGTTTAGATTTTATCTTTGTAAGTCTAATCTCGTGTATTTTAAATATATTTATATATAGAAATTAACAGGAATGAATAGGTTAAGACAAAAGAATCTATCTTTATAAGAAGAACGAATGGACTTAACCACAGACTCCATTCCACTAATCCTATCTATTAATTTACACATCTCTCCATCTTGCAATTAGTGGCAGACCATTGAATCTTGCGGATAGTTCAAAGACGGGATGTAAGAATTTCATCATTAATCTCTACACAATAAGAAGCAAAGATTCTTAATCCGATTAAAGGCAACGATATAGAACCAATGGCGTTTTACCGTCCTCTTTTATTTATTTTACTTTTTTTCCCCTCGTCTTAAGTGCAGATAGAGTCGTTTTAATGTTTGAATCATTAAGAATTACTAAGTATTTGGTGCGTGTGTATATATATATATATACAAGTGTATATAAAAGAGGGAATAACAAACATTTAAAATTTTGTTTGTTTCTTTTTTTGCTGTAACTTTTGCCTTCTTATCGTAAAAAAAAGTACTCCGCGCATCGATTTGTCTTTTATGACCACATTAAAGAAATATTCAACTAATCAAAGGATTCGTTGGAATTTTATGGCACGAATCATCATAAGTTTTTATCGGAAATGCTCTCCTTTGAATTTATTTCGAAATCCTCGACTTAAAACTGTTTAAATCGATTTATGTTTCGTTATCAAATTATCTAATTAAATTTTAAAAAAAAAGTAAATTAGAAATTTGTGATGGTTATTGCCGATGAAGTGATGAAGTTTTCTTGAAAGGAATATTTCCAAATACAGTAAAACTTCTCCAAAACGGAAACCTGCCAAACCGGAAAAATATTCGGTAAACAACGACTCCGGTTTACACAGGTTTCACTGTATTAGTCTAAGTATTGTAGTTTTATCACCAATATTCTAATTAAAGAAAGTTGCAAATTNGCTGCCTCTTGCTCTCCTGTATGGCTACATCCTTGTATAATATAATTATTTTTTATATTCTCTAAATTATGAATGGCATAGATTATCCATTCTTTTAATTTTCAAAGAGCTGTTACTTGCATTCCTTTTTTTTCAATTCATCAAGTCTTACTTTTTTAAATTAATAAAATCATGCACAAATTAATTTTTTTTAATTATAATAATTTAACGATTATTTTAAGGTTTCTTAGCTCTTAGCAACGTCTTCTATGTACAATTTAGATAAAATTATATAAGATATTTGATCTTTTATGAGTCTAGAAGAGTATTATGTTTGGTGGATTTTGAGAGGGGATCTTTTAGAACGTGTTTTAGAGGCATTAGAAACTAGACCATTTCGGAATTAGTACTTAAGGTATATCCAATTTTGACTTTAGTTTAGCCTAGGGGAATCATTTTTCCAAAGAATTGATATAATAACTAAGGAAAAGTTTCTTAGTAAAGAGGAAAAATCATTGATCTTCCATTACAGATCAAGTAAAGTTTATAGTGTTCCCCCCAAGGGAAAGGAGAGGATACTTTTGTTGACATCGTGGATAACCGAACTTTCTAACGACTAACCGAGGAATCGAAGCATGTAATGCGAAAGAGGTGATAAATGGGTAAAATAATCTATTGGATTTATCCTTAACGAGTATTGAAAGAATTAATTATCGAAAAATTTTTCTTTGAAGATATATTCGTAGTTAGAACTAAAGATAAAAAGGGTAAGAAAAAAAAGGAAGAAAGAAAAATCTCCTTAGAATTTTGTTAATGAATGGTTAAGCAGCAGAAACTTTAGACCATTTATCCGTGTCAAATAGTTAAATTTAATATATTCAAATTAATTACTTAAGGCATAGTTCAATTCCATTTTTGATACTTCGCTGTTAACCTGCAAACATTTTTATTACTTAAATTATTATTGTACACAGTTAAAATAACGAGTAACTTTCTTAAATGTCAAGGGAATTAGTACGTAATTCCATCAAACGATATTTTAATAAGATCTATTTTATATTTTAACTCTGGGCTATTTACACTCTCAGAAAGTAAAAACATAAAAAAAAATATTGCCGCCGTTTACAGATGT